TTTTTTAAGATTAATTTCTCTTGAAATGTATTAAGGTAGCATTTCTCAATCTGTGGATCATGCAGCTTGCCCTCATGGTCCTCCGAAGTTTCCAAAGGAGACAAAAAAATTTAGTTGAAAAATCTCAGAGTTTAAAAAGTTACATATGACAATCATCTATCACCTTTTCTCGTAAGATAGACATTTTATGAAATTTATTATTGGTTACCCTACCCTACTTACAGACTTCCCACTCAGTCTTAGCAGTAAAAGATGGATTTAAAGAACTATAACTGTGGTACTTACCACCATATATCCAAAATATACTATCATATATCCACTAAGACTGTGGTCTTACCATCATATATCCAAATATAGAAGAGCCATGCAAGAATTACAAATCATCCTTCTCATTAATAATCTTGAAATATTAGAAATATAACTTTTCTTCAATGGACTTAATTATGAAATATAACGGATTTTAATTATATATTAAAATATAAGTGTACTAGTAGTATATATGCTAAAAAATTGCTTTCGAAGGGAACAGCAGCAAGGTGATTCACAAATTATGATAATTCACATAATCTCTATTCGAAAAAAGTTTGAGAAACGCTGAAACAGGAGAATAATTAAATTATGGTTAATACTGGTAATTTCAGCCATATGCTTTAAGCTTGATGATCAACATTAAAAATTCTCAGAAAGTGTTAGATCAAAAACTACTTTTCCACATAATATGAACTTATACGTAACAGCATTTAATACTTAGCTCACTGGCAAAATATACAAAATTTTGAAATGCAAGTATATATATATAAGGCCAATAATATAGTTATCAACAATTAATGCATGAACTTCAATACTTACACAATTAACAAACACATGAACAATGATGTTACATGCATTCATCCTCTGAATTAACTAGTCAGTTTGGGTATTTTCTATCTTAGATGTCACAAAAATTGATCATGGATTTAATATTTTAAATGTTCCTCTCATAGACATTTTAATACTTGTATTTTTTACATAGAGTTGTCATCTTTAGTTTTACAGATATTCATTTGTTCACTTACTATTACGATTAAGTTTTACAGACAGAACAGATGATACCTGATTACATTAAGTGGTATTTAAGACAGAAACTTACTTACTGGTACTTAACACAGTTGCTAGAAAATATATTGCATAGTGAAAGACAGGGTACAAAGTCAGAATCTGAAAACTTATTGACTTACACTAAGCTATTTAATGTTTGAAATATTTATGATTAGATAATATCTTTTACATCATCACATATCTAACAGTGATATGATATACTTTAAGTATAAATATACAGTAAAACACTTTCTATAACCTTTTCCATAATTTTGTACAATTTTGATATTTAATGGAGGTGGTGGTACTTCACAAAGCATGATTCTCAGTGATAATTAATATCACTGTTTGTATCACCAGCATACTTGACATAATCACTTAAAGAGGTATAGTTGCTAAGGAAGGTTTTTCTATACTTCAAAACAATGGTTTACATATTTTAAAAAGTATATTTTTCTGACACTGTTATTTAAAAAGTGTATAACTCCTTTTACTCTTAAGCATAAAAATTTGAAATTTTTATGCTTAAGAGTCATTCATTTAGTTGTAACTTACAGGAAGATATCTTAAATGCCTAAAATGTTTTAATTTATGAAAAACAGCAGTTAGAGTATATTGAAGGGTGCTCCCTGTATTATCAAGGGAGCGCAAGTTTGTGCAATTCTCTGATGTTTTCTTAAGTGAAAATAGGTCGATGTGTACATGGATAAAGTCGAGGGAGTGCGCGATGCCAAGTTTGTACAATTCACAGATTTTTTTTTTAAAGTGAAAATAGGTCGATGTGTACATGGATACCGAGTATGTGCAATCTGTCTTCGTGTAGCGGCGGTTTTGGGCACACAAATCGTCGCTACACAAGCCAAAATAACATGGTCAAAGAATTGCACAAACTCGGTATCCATGTACTGCCAAAAATCGCCAAATTTTGCCAAGGGGCACCCATAAATATGCTTTTACCAAAACAAGCTTTAAGGCATTACATTTTAAATTCCAGTGATTTTTCAACACTAGTATGTTACATCATAGTTAAAAATATGTCAAAGTCACGGCATTTCAATTATTGCCTTTTGTAAATGTTGGTTATAAGGTAATTTAATAGATGCTTTATAAGTTGGTAAAGACTGTCCTGGATTAAAACTATCTTTAACACAAAAAATAATATACATTGAATACTTTTACAAATATGTAATTGCTATCCGACTATATAATCTTTTAAGGCGAACTTATTGCATGTATTAATGAAATAATATTCCATTTTTAATGTATGTTAAGTTATTTTCACAAATTTTTTAAATATATTACATTTATTTTTTCTATTTTGTTGAGATTAATAACATACATAGTGTAATAATGCTCTGAAAAATAATCTAACGCCAGTTCCACGCTCGGATTAATGATAACATGTATGGAATAATAATGTTACATCTGCCCAACAAAATGAAAAATATACATATTCTAAACGCGATATGTTTTAAAAGATACATAAATATTAACATGAGAAATTATTAGACTATAGATAGAACATTAATATTAAGCTTATTCGTTTTAAACTAACATATTAACAAAATTTGTTTCTGTTTATAAATATGAGCAGTTTAACTGCAGACACCTGCAGATGTAACGAATAAAAGTTGTTATTTTACTAAATGGAATACAAGCTCTGTGATTTGAACTCTAACAATAATTCAAAACACAGGTTTATTTAGGAGCATTAGAATTATAAGCTAAACATTAAAAGAATTTAATTATAGATAGTGTAAAGAACATAAACAAATACATTACATAAAATTAGTAAAATACACGTCAAACACTATTTCGAACTTACCTCGACCATAGCAAAAATAATGGCTAACATGGCGACTATCGTTGAACTCTCCCCGCTAAGACGCTGTTTTTCCACCTTCTTCCTGATTGGTTCAGCCGTTTTAAGCCACGTGATCACACGCTACGGACAAAATCCAAGCAAAACTTCTTGAAAAACTCCTGTAGCGTTTACAGTTTCGTTTGGTTCTGTGTTCGTTACAGGTATTTCCTTCGTAATTGTTCGCATTTCTGTAACTATACAAGACTTTTGTCTGTAAACTTCGAGGTTTTTTTTTTACAGTGTAATGAAAGCCACAGTTTTTTCCAAATAGGATTTAATGTATCTCATTAAAGCACTTTTTACTGCATTTCGCGCATTTTTTTCACGCGTAATTCTTGTACAAACATCTTTACTTTAGTAAAGCGGTAAAAACTCTAAGCACAAAATTTATGAACTTAATTTTGCGTACAAATAACGTAAAATTAAATAAGATTGATAGTGCGTGATGCTTTGAAATAAATAAGGTAAAATTGAACAAGATCTGATAATTTTTTTAAAAAAATTAATGACCATTTTCAGGCAGTGATTTTCAAAACTATAATAACATTACAAAACAATCATTTATTTGATTATATCATCATTAACTTATTAACATTAAAGTGGAATATTTATGTTAGTAATTTATAAAATTCGAAGCATAAAATTTTCTGAATGTAATGAAGGGGGGGAAAAAAAGGTAAAATAAAATCTAGAAGCACTCAGATGTTACATTACGCCCAAAAGGAACCTTTTTTTAACGTTTTGTTTGTTACCTATATTTATTGAATATCATGTTCTTCGCCCGTAAACCTATACATTTGAAAACAGCATATCTTTAGAATTTCCGCACTGGAGATAAAACCGTTATTTTCCGTACAGTGCTCGCTCTGAACTCGTTGAGTTTGTTAATCAAAAATTCGTTAAAGTTTTACAAAATATGAAATAGATTAAAACAAATTCGAAATTCGGCCGTCCAGATGCCCATGTTCGGGTGGAGGATTACATTATTCAAAATTTGATGGCTCTAAATACTGCCGATTTTGTCACAGTGCGAGAAACATACATGTACTCATGCAGATTCTTCATTATTTCTTTACATATAATACAGGCCGATAATATTTAGTAACAACAATTTGCAAGGAGACACGGACATTTATAGTAAAACAGCGGAAAATGCCGCTTCGAAACTAACAGCCTTTCTAGGCTACCGCTCCTTTGGGCTAATAAATTAAATTAACAATAAATTAAAAAAAAATATTATGCAGAACTAAAAAAAAAAAAATAAAATAAAATAAATAATCACTACAAAATACAAGCAAAATTAATTATTACGGTTAAATACAATTTTAATATTAGAATAAAATGTATAAAAATTTTTTAAGGAGTCAAAAGTGTTTATCACTATGATGTATTATGAAATATAATTGAAATAAAATTCCTTTATAGAAATTGTGCTATAATACTCATCTATAATTTTAAAAAAGCAGCACAATTTAGAATTTTAAACAAAACTGCATAAAAATTGCAAGAGAAAATTGCTTGTTTGAAAGTTTCTATTCAGATTTAGAATATTATTTTCTAAAAGTAGTAGTTACAAATTTCCTTACAGCATAGGAAAAGCTAAAAAAATATCCAGCCTTGAAAGCATGCAATAGCATTATAATTATTTGGAACGTTAATTATGCTTGATAAATGTGCTAAATTTTTAAAAATCAATCTGAATTTCAAAAATAAAAATATATAGAAATTCTAATTTGTGAAATGAGGCGCTACATCCAGCTTTTTCTTGACAATTATACACTCTCCAATAGGCAACCACTGTTAAATTTCTGCAAGTTGTCCCTACTCCTCCGGATGTAATCAAGGTGACAGCCAGGAACGCCTCAGACGAGGGAGAAAACCCATTTGGGTTAGTCTATTTCTTATAAGGTCCATGATAGGAAATGAAAAAGCGAATACGAGTGATAAAACTACAATATTATGTAGATTTTCAAAAAGATTTTGTGGAAAAAGAGTTCGCATTTAATTTGTCATAAACCTTTCAGGATTCAGATGGAAATCGTAATACTTATAGTGTTACCTCCAAATGCTGAGTCAAAGTTTCTGTTAGGATCAGCGCCCCTGCAGAATGGGTTGGTTCCGAAACGGCGACTTACAGCTCTATTCTTTCGCCACATTCTATTCTGAAAAGGAAGAAAAAAGGTGAAATTGATAACCTGAAATTTTGTAGTTCTTTGTCGTGCGCCATTTCTTTTTCAATACTTAATGAATGATTATTAAAGATGATACATTAAAAAGGCGACTCTAAGTAAAGCGTTAGTTTTTGTTAAGGAAACAGTTTTACTAAAGAAGAAACCGAATTTATCTTCTCTCTTAGAAGACTTTATCTTATATTGGTAACTATACTGAGAGAAGTAGTATTTTTTTAAATGAATTCTATTCCATAAAATTTCCCTAACTGGTGCTGTGTAACTTTGCTTTTATGAAAATTAGAATATGCTGAATTTATTATTAAGTTGCTAATTTCAATTTTTCAGCATTCTAATTTCTCAGGATGATTCAAGATGACTAATACGACGTTTCTTTTACTGTTTACTTTAGGATGTAGAATATTTTAAAATATTTTTAATAACATCATTTTATATTTTTTAAGATTAAATTTATGTTTATTTTTGAAAACTTTTTAATAATGGTCTTTACGTAGTTTAAAAAAATATTAATGTATAAACTCTTATATACATAAAATTTAATTATTGTCAAAACTACAAAACAAAGTTTTCAAAGACGTACAATTTTTTTTAAAATGCATTTCGAAAGGCTTTCTTTCTCAAAACTGTGATTTTTGAAATGACAAGATACTACAGACATAGCATTTTTGTCAAAACAACATTTGAAAACATTTGCAGGTTTTAACAAAATTATTATTACTTAAAAAATCGCAATCCTTATATCTCTAAAAGTTAAAACTTTTAGAGATATAAGGATCGCGATTAAAAGTTTTAACTTTTAGAGATATAAGGATTGCGATTAAAAGTTAAAACTTTTAGAGATATAAGTTTTAACTTTTAGAGTCATATTTCTAAAAGTTAAAAAATGATTTTTCAGAAAATTTTCTTTTAAGTGACCATCTTATTATTAGTTTCATAAACACAACTGCAGAAGTCGTCTATTAAAGAACATTAGTAAATTGGGGTTTGGAATATTATTCGGACAAGGCTTAAATTCAACCTAATTCTATACGGTAGTTCTCCCGCCTTCTTAGCATGCCTTCGTGGTGTCGTGGTCAGCACGCTCGACGCGTATTCGAGAGGTCCGGGGTTCGAGTCCCGGCGAGGGCATTGCTCATTTTTCCCTTCTCCTGCTTTTTTAAAATAAAACCTATGTCTCTACAGTGGCACCCGCACTAAAAAAGGTGGTCGATGATGATTCTACACCACTAAAATTTGGCGATTGGGTCCCCTAATCCCCAGTAGCCCTTTAAAAGGAGGAGTATATAAGGTATTTCTCCCGCCTCTACAATTCATTCCAGTATTCATGCATTCATTCCAGCATTCTCTATAATTCTCCAGCATTCTTTACAATTCTCCAGAAGTTCCTTTCAGATACTCCTTAATTTTAGAGTAAAATCGTAATTCTCGAAGCCCAGTATATATGTACTGTATCAATTACATTGCAATGTTAACAAAAAAAAAAAGGGGGGGGGGGTTATTAAAGTAACATTTAGTTTAGTAGCTAGTAAAATTAATACTTGCACTTATTTATTGAATTTGTCTTTCATTTTCTTTCTGAAGAGCAAAATCCGTGGGAAAACTCGAGACCAGGGAAAGAAATCTCTTATATCGAAATACGATCTGTTCATAAAGAGGTATTTAGGTATATATAAGATATTTAGGTATTTATAGGTTTTAACATCATTCTTTGTATTCTTCTAACATACAACTTTTGCTTGCTTTGCCAACATAATCAAACTTCGTGGTAACATTTAGTAACATTCCAGAACCAAAACTACATTATTTTTACTTTAAAAAAAAGGAAAGTTTAAAAAAAGGAAAGCGATTTTTTAAAAGAATTAAAAATTATAGCAGAATTGGGCATTTTAAAATGAATGTGGGTATTTGTTTACTTAATTAAATAACTTCTGTTGTCTTTACACTGTCTTCGACAAGGCATGCTTTATGCACTTTTTTTACAATGCCCTGAAAATTTTTTTAGCTTCGAAGCCATGCACTTTATTTCAGTTTTCAGCTCGGTCTCCTCGGTTTGGCAACTGGTTTTAATAAAAATAAACGAAACAGAATTTCTTTTTTTTTTTTTTTTTAATTATCAATGCCACTACTTGTTATTGTTAATTTACTCGCTTTTGATTTGTCTTTGGCTTATTTCACTCAGTTTTTAAGAAACAATAATATATTAGGTAGCTGTTTCATCATTAGTTTATTTTGGAAGCAGGACTGATGAAAAATGAGCGACGCCTTCGAGGGGAATCGAACCACGGACCTCTGGAATACGCGCCCAGCGTGCACTACGAAGGCATGTTAAGAAGGCGGGAGATATACCTTATAAGTTTAATTTAATTTGTTGATCTATATTTTGACTTATTTTGTTATATTTTAACTAATTTTAATTACTTAGCGTTTCATTTATTAATATTTAATTTGCTTACATCTGTTCAACGTTTCTGATGGCTTTCTGTAAGACTTTCAACGTCTAAGTTTAGAATTTAAGTCCTATATTGTTAAAACTGCGTATAAAAATTAATGTTATAAAACAATGCGCCTAATGAAAAAAACAACTCAAACTTTCATGAAAGAATTTTACAGTTTAAAGAAACCAAAAACGAAGACGAAGTAAAAGCTACATTTAAAATTAACAAGCAGTAAAAGCTGTGAGTTGTCAATGCAGAATAAGCAACTGGCAAACCAACAGAAAATATTAGCTGTGAGTAAGCGCTGTAATTTCACAACACGAGGCAACTTTTTTTTTTCGTTGTTTGGTAATAGGGGCAAAGAGCTTGATCTGTTGAAAATTACGTCATCTCGACTAGCTGTATATCAATTACAACATTTTGACAAACTGTTTACTTACGAAAGTCCAAGTATATTTGTATCCATCAGGATTGACGACAGGGAAGATATACCAGTCATAGGTATCCACCAGTTCCTTAATCTCAGGATCAGTGTCGTATCCCCTAACTAATTGCTCGATGATGTAAATTGATGTGGCAGGTGATACCCATTCCCGAGCATGTATCCCAGAATCAATCCATAGAGCAGGTTTATTAACTCCTGGAGATCCGATCTGAGGACGAGAGGAAAAGATTCATGAAAACGTGTTACACTTCTTTAGAAATAAAAACAGTAATTAATGTTGCATAGAGGCATACATCGAGATACTGTGCTTATGGTTCCAGTTCACCCCAATGAGGTTAACATCGCAATAAAATAATTCGAACGGAATTTTTATCTCGATACACGTAAAAAGTGCGATTACTATGCGGCAGTATTGCTACAACATTTTGCATTTGAAACAAGCAGCAAAATTGCGTCCCTAAATACTTTCCACCTGGGCCAATGAAAACAGTCTAGTGTCCTAGGCATAGAATACTTCCAGAAGCTACAGGGAGAAAATAGGATACTGGGGGAGTTTTGGGTGATGTGAGAGCCCCCTAAAATTAAAACAACTTATAGATTTAAAAAGCTTTACAGCTTGCAGATAGGAAAGCATACTAAATTACAAATTAAATTCCTTTGCAGCAACAGAAAACTAGAACCAAAATTGCAATTTGAATTTAAAAAAAAAAATCAGTATTTAATTTTATAGCATTCGGAACTCAATTCAAACGGCAACTAACTAAACTAAAATTCTTTTTGAAGTTTGTTTTATATAAATCAGTAAATTAAAACAAAAGTTTTTACTACAGGGCGGTTGGAATATCCATCCTCTTCCGTTAGCAATTCTTTTTGAACAATAAAGGCAAGCGTCGGTACTGAAAGCTAATAAATAACTTCTGCATACTTATGAAGAGAGGTTTAGGTAAAAATGCTTCAGAAAAAAATTGAAACAATAAGATTTTTTTTATTGAAAATGCTTACGATGCTTTCGTTACACGATATTAACATAACAAATTGTTTGGGCTCTCTAAAAGGAAATCGTACGTTTGAAATCAAATATCAGTACATATTCAAAACAAAGACTTGTGAGATTTCTTTTGCATACAGGACAATTATTTGAAGATGCGATAATAAATGGATAATTCGAAATGATTAAACCTTTAATGGGGACTGGCTATTTAAAACTTAAGGAAAGTCTACCACTCAGAATGAAAATAGGTTTTTAATAAGAATGATGCTTCGGAAATGAAAAAAATAACATCATATCTGGAAAGAGAGTAAAGTACTATTAATATAATGCCTTATAATGTCTTAATGAGAATTTCTTACCTTTAATCCTTTTATGGGATTTCCTTCAAAGGTCGTCCCAATATGTTCAGCCGATACAAGCGATGGATAACGTCCAGGCACAGAGTCAATGTAAGCACTAATCTAAAATAAAATAATTAAATAAACATTAATAAATTTATAAAAAATATTCTTCTTGTAAACTCAGTGTAAATTCTGTAAAAGTTAGTTTACTGTCCACTCTTTTTCAAGACTCTATCCTCTGTCTCTTTAATTACAAAATATATAAGGACTCATTACAGATTGTGTAAAGCAGCAGAGTGTCGAAAAAATGCTTTCTCAAGTAGACGTAAAAATAATTGGTATGAAAAGAGAGTCTGAATTACCGACAAAGCTTCATACCCAGTGGAGGCAGTTTGAATGGCAAGTTGCTTGATTATACTTCGCAATGTGTATTGGTCAAAGAATCAGACTTTGATCTTCCTTGGCTCTTTCAATTTCCCATCCTTTTTATACATATCGAATTTTCGTTGTTTCCAGCACTCACAAGAAATTCTGCCTGTATTTTGTTACTATACTGCTTAACAGGTCTTCTGTTTATGTTGTTTTTACTTAAACGTTGTAGGATTACACTCCAATAAATGCTCTTTCGTTTTCACGTTATTTCTATTCCTTTATTTTTATTCTTTGTACGAAGCAAAGGAAGTATTGTAATCAAGAAAAATTCCAGGTATCATATTTCAACGAAAAGGGCCATTTTGACCGCTTTGACCAATTTAACTATGTTTTTGCGTGATATCTGTACGTAAGGACAGTATAAAGGACGCTTTTTCCCTGAACGAATTATAAAAATGATTTAAAATGGATTCAGAAGAGAATTTTTCATGGCGTGCATATGTATCTCGTATAACTCAAAAACGATTAGCCTCAGTGCGATGAAATTCTGCATGTAGGACTGCTATAACATGTAGTTGTGCACCTCACTTTTTGGGTGCAATCGGCTTCACCAAATGTGAACATCAGTATAGATATATATATTGTTATGGATTTTGTATTCAGTTAGATATTTTTAGTAGAATTATAAATAAAATTATTAATTTCCCCGTGAAATGCAGCACGAAGCATATTTTAAGAGAAAGCTACGCCAAAAAATTAAAAATACAAGAGCACGTGCATTTAACATTGAATAAAAGTTTATTTCGGTAATTTATATTTAATTTGAATAAATGTAGACTATGATTTGAATAAATGTAGATTATGATGTTATCTGTAACCGTAATTCTACTCTTTTTGCTTTGCAGAAATTTGTTAGAACTATCTCGCATGGCCGATTTTAAAAGGTATAAAAAGCCGGAGACAAACATCTCAGCTCAGTTGCTTAGTTCTTGTTTTGCCCGTTGTTTATTAGCTGTTGTTGTTGATTGTAGCGAATTCGCGGTGAGATCGCATTAGCTTTCCTTGCGGTTTGGATTGTGTTCTATTTAGCGTTTTAGTAGTTTAAAATATAGCTACTGATTATATTGTGGAGTCATTAGGTTAATTGGAAGCACGAAAGGTGAAAAATGAGCAATGCCCTCGCTGGAAATCGAACCACAGAAATCTGGAATACGCACCTAGCGTGCAGACCACTACACTACGAAGACATGCTAAGAAGGCGAGAGAAATACCTTATATGCTCCCTCTTTTAAAGGGTGACTGGGGTTTTTAGGAGACTCAATCGCCAAATCCTGGGTGTGGAGAATCATCATCCACCACCCTTTTAGTTCGGGTGCCACTGTAGAGTCATTAGGTTAATTGGAAGCAAGAAAGATGAAAAATGAGTAACGCTGTCGCTGGGAATCGAACCACGGACCTCTGGAATACGCACTCAGCGTGCACACTACTACACTACGAAGTCATGCTAAGGTATTTCACGCATAAGGTATTTCTTCTACTTTCTTAGCGTGCGTTCGTGATGTAGTGGTTCTGCACACTGGGCCGGTATTCCAGAGGTCCGTGGTTCGATTCCTGGCGAAGGCGGTTGCTATTTTTCCTCTTCCCTGCTTCCAAAAATATACCTAATGTCTCTACAGTGTGATATTGTACGAATATCGTTGAGGAAAAATCCAGCTTTTTGTTATATTTGTTGTGATAAGAAGAGATTTTATTAACTTTTTATCGGACTTGTGCATTCAATCTATTACGAACCCGTGCGCACGCAACAATATATATATATATATATATATACACCCACTCTGTTACCCGGCTCATTGAGCTCAGTTTTTTTATTCTTATATGTCTAGAAATTGTGCATTTTTTTGCTTTAAAAGTGATTAAATTATGTGGTTTTTTTATGTTCCGGTTGAAGTTTTTATGCCTTAATTAATCTGCATGCAACAGCTGTAGAATTGTCAGCAATTTAAAAGTTTAACTGGCGAGTTAAATCTAACGAATGGCCATTTGTTTACATTTGAAACTCAGTAACATAGTGATTTAAGTCAGTTTCTGCTCCTTCAATGTCTTTTTGCTGACTGGTACCAAAAGGAAACTTTTAGTTTTGTGCACCAAAAAATCTGCCTTCTTGCCTGCTGGCCAAATCGCTTGTTTTTGAGTAGAAACTGTAATTTTAATTGTTAATTTAAAAAAAAAAAAAAAAATTTAACTGTATTTGGCTTTTTATATTTTTCGATATCTTTCAATTTTAAACGAAGATATTTTGAGTTTTTATGCATTTTTGCGTTGCCGCGCAGTGTGAACTGAATTAATTGAATGAGAAATACATCTCTAACGAAATTCGACGAAATAAAATTTAAATGAAATGCAGGAAAAAATGCTTATAATTTCATATTCCGTGCAAGGGAGTCATGTGGTGTACACATCAGTTTGTAAAAGCCAGATTGATGAATACTCTACCTATTGAGCAATTAGACGATTTGAAGAAAAACCACAAATGGCCATGTTGATCAGATTCAGAATACTGGTATTTCGACCCAGGTTCAAATTTTGATTAATTGGCAGCTTGCATGAAACGTTCTGGGTTTTTCTCAAGTGTACTGTGGTTATTGTCAAATAATCCAGTCCATCTGGTAAGGATGTGCCACTTTTAACATATTTTAAGGTGCTCTATTCTATCCCGGAATTTTATATTTCATGAATTTGAATTTTTTTTTTAAATTCTAGGTGAAAAATTTGCATAATGGATTAATAAAGAATTTAGTGCGTATTTCCTTTCCGAAATATAAAAAAAAAAAAATAATAACCTAGCTCAGTGATTCTCAACCACTCTGCCGCGGCCCTTTTGTGTGCCGCCAAATTCTTTAAGTGTGCCGCCAAATTTTAGAAATGGGTATAGTAAAAATTATAATGGGTTTAATCCTAGTGTACATGAGAATTGCGAAATTCGGTTTTTAAGACATTAATAAGCGCGCCAATTGTGGTATCCAAGCCGATTCTGGTGCCGAAGTATTTGAATTAACTTTGAACGAAGAGGAAGAACTAATTTCGCTTTCTAATAATCGAGATTTAATTTTAAAATAGTCGGAAGAATCAATTAATTCATTTTGAATTAATATTAGATGCGATTATCCCATGTTGGCCAAAAGAGCTTTAAAAATATTATTACAGTTCTCTACATCTTATTTGTGTGAATTCGGATTTTCAATATTAACTAACAAAAACAAAAAAAAAAAAAAAAAAAAAAAAAAAATCGAGACTGTTAAATGTAGAAGACGATATGACGAATATATAAATGAAATTATAAAAAAACATCAAGTTCAAATTTCTCATTAAAAATATTCTTATTGTTAACTTGTAATTAATCCCTTAATAAACGTATTGCTGTTTTTGTAGTGCATATTTTATTTAACATTCAAATTTATTATCATAAACTGTTTTACACAGTGGTAAGTAAACAACTTTTAAACTTATCTTTTTCTCTGTATGCCGCCAAATTTTGAAGTCGTTAAAAGTGTGCCGCGACAAAAAAAGGTTGAGAATCGCTGACCTAGCTGATATTTCCCAAGTGTAGTGCATCCATAATTTTGAGACAAAAACTGGATTTTGGGGATCTCGGTTTTTACTGCATAGTTAAAGAAAAGGCTGGATAAAATTCAGAAAGTTTGCTGAAATCTTTTCGTTACTTACAGCATCGAATGTATGATATACATCCAACTGAAAATTTTCCTGTCTTCCTGCAAGCTCGTCGTCTGGTGGATTTTCCTCTCGTTCCTCATCAATCCATCTATCAATGTAAATAAAATGGATAAATAGCCTAATAATAAAAGCAGAACAATCTTATTTTTCAGATTTACGCTTAACAATTAAAAAATAGCATGCATTTATTTTCGTGCAAACTGAAATATGGGTGAGAGAACTATTCGCTCATACGGATGTATCGTGTATGAAGTAAGAAAAATAAAAATCGATTTTTCCTAAATTTACTCTAGATAACTACAATAAATAGCTTTATTAAGAATTTTATCAATTCGAAACAGTATTAGAAATCTGACAGCCATTTTATCAGTTTTTATTTGGTTGACCTACGGAGTCTGTCATCGATTTTTTAACTACTTCCTGATCGAGTTTAGAACTTGTACACAGTCTGTGGATCGCAATATGATAGGCAGAAGCAGTTTTTTTTTTTTTCAAAATTCTATTAAATGTTTCGAAATTTAAGGCTGAAACGATTTCTTTCACGCATTTTCAGTTAGCAAGCAAATTAAAAATATCAGAATTTTATTCTTTACACCATCGCATACAGCGCGAAAAAATCTTTTTAATTAAATTTGAGCGAAAGTAGCAACTTAATTTTTGAATGTTTGAATTTTCGAAAATCGATCGATTTTTTTTCAAGTATTTGACGTCCATAACTTTAAAATTTCAAACTCTAAAAATGTATCGAATATAGAGTTTTATAAATTTCAGAGATTATGAAAACAAATTTTTCGCTCTCTGTTAAAACAAGAATTTCAAAAAAATATTAATTCCGCAGTTTCCTACATTTATTAAAAAAGTTTGTTGCAGTCTGTGATTTGGAATATGCATAAAATATCTTATGTATTTATTACATGCATATGTTACGGTGAAACGCCGAAATCTGGAGAATGTCGACTTTCACCGGTGAATGTCAACATTCACATAGTCTCTTTGTGTATGTCCGAAATATTTTCCAAATACTCTTATTTCTGACTTACACTGGTCAATGTCGACATTCACCATGTACTAATGGTGAATTTTGAACATATAACAATATTATATTTTCTTCTCCGTCATTCAGTCGTGAATAAACGCACTTGACACTTGAAATAAGAACTTAAGAACATGAGAACCTAAAACACACAATACATTCAAAATGAGAAAGGAAAATAATAGAAGCTAAAAACTTACTTAATTATACAGTACGCTCTAAATGAGAAAATAAAATAACAGTAATAAAAAACTTATTAAATTATGTGATTCAGATCTTATTTATTGCAACAACTTAAACTATTATGGCACTTTATGACCTCTCTTTTCGACTTTCACCAGAGCATATCTGTGATTGTCGACATACACCGGTGAGGGTCCGAATATACAAGAATGTAGTGCAATATTCGATTTTTCACCGACGTATTTAGTGAATGTTGATATTCTCCGGTGAAAGTCTACATTCTTCAATTTCGGTCTTTCACGGTAACATATGTACAACAGTTGAATTGGCGTAAACTTTCCAAATAGCAGGTCGGAGCATTTTCATAAAAAATAAATAAATATAAATAAAAATAAAAAGACTATATCTTCTAAAATCGCTCTTTTATGTATAATAATAATAAAAAAGTTAACATAGTTTCAACGTCGGGAAAAAATTACGTCTTAATTAGAATTAAGCTTCTTAATTAGAACCCCCGACTGCTGCAGCAATAAACAACTGGTTAAGAACGTTTGGTGTTTTAATGAGTAAGTTGTTTCAACAAGTAAGAAAAGTTAAATTTTAAGTAATTTTACTAAAAGGTGTCATGCATCCAATTTTTTTTTTTTTTTTTTTTTTGTCTCATTTCCTAAATCTGTCTATGTAAAAATGCAAACAATGTAAAGAAATACGTGGCACTGAAATGTTTTAGTTGGGTCGCCTGTAATACGAAGAACAGTTAATTTAATTTGAATCCTAAAGCATCGTGACACTCAAATTTCTAGTTGTTTGAAAACTAGAAAGCCAGTAAGTACTAAATGATTACTAACTTTTATCTTAACTTACACTTGAGAAAGGTCAGTCTTGTTTAAAGAAAAGTTCTGAAGAAATAGCAGGACATGTATTTATGGATGTTAATAGAAAAGGATTCATATTTCCCTCAGCTTTCATTCCGGATAAGAATCTGTGGTATGAAGTTAACTAAAACTGGCAATCCCACTTAATGGCCAACCAATAGAATTATCTGAGCCGATTGGTAAATTATCGTCCTTGCAACTGTTTAGCTGTCGTTACAAGCACTAATCCAACTCTAAAATCAAATAGATACTTATTAATCCACTGCTGGTGATTTTTACGAATTAAAACGATGACACAAACTGAAATAAATGCACATCGTTGCATAAAAATACAGATGACGTAATTTGATCTGCTTGATAATATTCAACCGATGTACAATAATATCATACATGAGGAAATAATACTGAATTAACACAAAGGCGACGGAAAACAAGCTAACACTCACACGAGGACTTAGCGAGTGGCATAACTTGGTATAAAAATCCTCCACCGTTTGTCTCGGCTAGACCATGGTATTACTATTTAGATCACATAATGGTCTAGCCGTCATTATTGCCGTAAAAGATAATTAACTCAGTTCACACTTGTGGAACAGGGTTTAAGTGATAGCCAGCCAGGGAAGGTAAAGTTGCGCATACGTCAATATGCAGCTGTCTCATAGAAATCGCTGACTGAACGTTCGGTTATGTTTGTTTCGTTAGGATTGGTGAGTTCTTATACCAAGCTGGCATAAAGTTCAACAGTTAGAACATGTAGACAAAATCCTTATACCAGTTTGTAGCGTTGCGCGCCTCCAACTTGCACGCAACCAAGAGGTGACTGTGAAAAATAGGATAAAAGACAGAGTCTTGTTAAGGGTTTAAGTCCCTTTTTATTCAACGTAATAAATTACAAGTGCGTGCTCTTGACGCTTACAAACTGCGCCAACTCGGCGGTCAAATAAAAATAATAACCTGAAAAGAAACTAAAGACAAGACTCTAACTACGAGGCTCTCTAAAAGTAACTAACTCACCGCGTTTTACAATACCGCTGCTAATTCAGCAAACTTGAAGATCACTTGAATGATTAACACTACTTCCAGGCAAGCACACAAGCCGAAACGCGGTTCTTCAATTTTTGGCCAACTACCTCCGCGCTCGTGAAGTAAGAATATCACACCTCGAACTCGTTTCCTTTCTATTTAAATCAGAATACTTCCGCTGATAATTTGAATCCTTGCGCGTTCTGCTAAAATTTACATACTCTGGCATTGGCAGTTCCAGGGGAAAGTAAGGCTTGACAGGAAAGATAGTTTAAACTTAAAATAAATGTTAGTTAAAATAAATATAAACCCTACAAGTTTCCGTGAAAGGTCCGGCTGCCTTGCAACGAAACTCAGCTTATGCCACTTGTGGTTCACAAAGCCCTCGTGTGAAAGCCCCATAACGGTTAAGGTTAACCTCCTTTTTTTAAACTATGCTTCTTGCCATTTAAATTGAGGAACGTTCTGGCTCGAGCGAGTATTATGACCAGAGCCAAAAAGAACAGGATAGTGTCTAATTCAAAACTACCTGTCTGGAAAACAATAAGATTAGTTCAGAAGTCAAACACCAAAAATCAGCGATATATTTGAAAATTTTCACAGGACTAGTTTCGATGGTTTTACCGAACCACCATCCTCAGCTGCAAAAGCGCAAATGAACGAGATAGGATATAATGATCAGATAAGATAAGAAAGCCTCGACAGAAAATAAGCTAGTGGCGTCATATGTTGATGAAACCAGAACTAAAACATAATTTTTTTAAAGGCCGAAGGCAAAGATGGATTGGAATTAGGATCGTTAACTAGAACAGAAAGATCTTTTTGAATGTGAAATGCTTATTTTCTGTCCAGGCTTTTTTATCTTATTTGATCATTATATCCTCTCTCGTTCATTTTCGCTTTTGCAACTGAGGATGGTGGTTCGGTAAAACTATCGAAACTAGTCCCGTGAAAATTTGAAAATACAACGCAGATTTTTGTTGTTTGACTTCTGAATTAGTATTTGTTCGGCGTGTTATTTTGTCTTAATAAGATTAGTTGCCGCAAAGTATTCAAAAAGACGATGGCTGTCTTGTCAATTTGCTGTAAAATGATTAGATGTTCTCAAATATTAATACAATTTCAGTTTAAAAAAGGATGGAAGATGAAATGACGTAGGCAATAAAATAACATGTTCAATTTGCAACTTTATAACGATGCCACGTACTTTTGAAGATCGTTGGTAACAACATAAAAGTCGATTCCTTTGGACCTGAGGTTGGATTCCAAGTGGCTGGCTACCTCAGGAGGAACTCGAACATTTACTTTCTCGTATAGAGCTACTGGTTCGTTCCAAACGTCCACCTGTGAATAAATAATAATTAAAGTAATGCATTGAAAGAAATATGCAGAATACCGGAAAGCATATTTCACAAGTGCACATTAGCGTAGCCACTGAGGGAGGGGTTTCGAAGATGGACCAATGAGCTTCTATTGCTCTTGTGTTGCTAAATCTTCGTGCATGTGAGCATATGTTGCTTACATTTTAATTTGCATTTGTTTCGCAGTTATATATTTATGGCGTAATAGTAGAAAATTTCGTGGTGCTTTCTTTTTATGAGTTTAATTAATCGCTGACATTTCACTTTCGAGATTTTTATCACGCATTAATATTTGGATTTATGATCACGGCATATTATCACCCTTTACGTCGAGAAAACGACTCAAGGTACAATTAGCGTCAAATATTATGTATTTACTAACATCTGTGGATTAAGAGAATCCAAGTGTATGTATATATATATATATATTATATATATATATGATTTGTTATTGAGCTGAGAAGGACTGGAAGTGTTACGATGAATCTCGTGCTTTCTTATTTCAATGCTTGCATTCCTTTGATTCTGAAAGTGTAAGATTCAGAATACATTTTATGTATAACCTGATTATATCCATTGTTAACATTAAAAGTTATATGTGAATAAATTATATTCGTTGTGAATATGCATTCTGTTTGATGAGTGTTTCTTGTATAGACAGTATATTTAAGAGTGAGCAGTTATTAAATGTGAAATTTAACGCACTAAATGTATACGAATGCAAATTACTAAAGTTCGCTTTGAATAAAATTATGCATTGGTTATTATCATAGAACATCTTTTTCATATAGACTGCAATAAAAAGTGCTGACTTCTATTTACATAATTGGTGTAAATATTTTTTCTCCTACGCATAGTTTTATGTAAAGATTGCATTTGGGCTCAGATGTTTATCACATATTTCTTCCTTCATCTTATTTACCACTTATTAAGTAATATTTCACATCGATATTTTTGCGAAGTGTATAGCATGTGTTTGTATTTATTTCAACCAGGTAGTGAAATCTTCATAATTTCCTATATTTGATCTAACTTCGCAATGGAAAGTTTCAGAAGTAATCGACGATACTTTAATTATTTTGTACAGAAAATTGCGTGGCAGAATATTTTCAACCATCTTGCTTAAATCTTAAAGCACGCAAAAGGTAATGTGAGACGACAGAAATATTACTGGATGCCCATTGGTCGATCCTAGAAGCCCCTCCCTCAGTGGCTACACGGATATGCACTTGGGAAATATGCTACCGGAACATGATATATGTATATAAAGGTAAAAAGCAGTTCAAAACCTAATCGTATTGCGCATTGAAAGCAGCAGAACGTTGTGGTAATAATGCAAAATAAATTAATATATATGTTATCGGTAAAGTACGAAACGCCGGCATTGTATATAATTGTATATAATTTTTACCGGCATTGTATATAATTTTTAGGCAAAGTATGAAATATGAGAATTATTACATACTTTCCTTAGGCATCATATATAATACCTACGCATTCTATGGAATGGCAAATGCTATTATAGGCAAAGTATTAAGAAAGGTCCTGATAAGACTATTATATAAATGACGTGCATTCCTCAAAAATACAAATATTATTCTGAAAAAATAATGAAAGTGCCATTAAAAAATTATTAAAAATACATAAAGAAAGATGAAAGTTGTACAAAACAAAATTTGTTCCTTCTTAAGGGAAACAAAATTTTCATATAAAAATAATGAGATATTAAAATTAACCTACTGGTCAAGATGGTAGGCTTCAATAACATTTTGAATTACATTTTTCACGCCAAGACATTTCATATTTTGGCACTTTGTATTACATTTACATTTGACGAATCCTTGGCCGCTACCACTGGACTACCAAATTCCTTCAGAAGTTCCAAGTCGGTAGAAACCATCCTCTATCACACTCATTACCAACTGCCAATATATTGCGTGAATCACCTCGTCCATTGCCGACGTCAGGAATAGGGACTCGCGCAGTAGCTCCCAAAGAAGCAGTGGAAGCTTTTTTTTTTTTTTTTTTTTTTTTTCCCCGAAATTTTTTTTGGGGGGAGGGCTTGTATTTCCAGATTAAATTAAAAATTTATTTTACGTTTCAATAGCATTTTCAGTTTTGAAACAAAGGGGGTGCACAAAATATCCATTTCATCATCTTTACTAGCATAGCCACAGAAGGTATGAATTTTTTAACGACACTTTTTGCATGCAAGTGTATTACTCGTTTCCTTTAAACACACAACAGGTATCAGAAACGGAAATATCTTCGGTAAGCATGTCTTCATCATGCTGGTTTATTCCAATATCGACTATAATCTCATCTAGGTTTTTTAAACAGGTTCGTTTTCTAGAATAATCTGATTAGTTTCACCTTTTTCCATCATTTGGACACTTTCTGTTACTTTTCTAGCTGTTCCTCTGTATACGAATCTTAGATGTATTTCACACTTTGCTAATTTCTCATTTGGCATTCCATAGAATGCCTAGGAAAATGTGTGAAATATGAATCGTTTCATATATTGCCTGCTAGTGTTAGGTATTATATACAATGCCAGATTTCAAACTTTTCCGGTAACATATATATTAAAGAAACAGAAGTACAGTGGCAAACTGCATGAAAGAGGCAAACAATGCCAAAATGAAAAAAGAAATTTACATGTTGCGATGCATCCTTATCCATCGTTAACCATAGAAACTGAAGATTTTTATAATTATTTTCATTATTATTAATCAGTTTAAAATTCGTAGTTTATCTAATTTCCTTACTTATCACTCGTTAAGCTTAGGAACAGTATTTTGCTATCGGACATGTCGAATAAATACTTTTTCAATTCCAAACCTTTGTTACTAATGTTAGAGATTTTAAGAACTAGTTCTTTTTATTAGTCCAAAGGGGCAATTTGCCCTGAAGGACTATTAATTTCGTTTTGGCGTTTTGCGTCGAAATCTTTAAAAGGCTGTATCACTTTTCAAATCGTTGCTACCATATATTACCACGTTGCATTAAGTTTAAAGAAATTAAATAATGAAGAAATTGCACAAATGTATGTATGTTTCTCGCATTATGATATAACAACGGTACTTAGAGCCATCAAAATTTGAATAACGTAATCTTCCGTAGAATATGGGTATGTGGAAGCCCTAATTTCAATTTGAAATTTGTTTTATTATCGATTTCAGATTTTGTAACACTTCAACGAATTTTTTATTAAAAAAGTAAACGATTTCAAAGCGAGGAATGGCAACACTGTACGGAAAAAAAATTATCTCCAGCGCGCGAGACTCTGTATCGGAAATTCTAAAGAAAGGCTCATTTTACAATTAATTTGCGATATTGCTGTTGAACTGAATTTTATAGTTAAATAAAGATAACACACAAAGCGTTAAAAAAACGCCCCTTTGGAGGTAACTTAAAATCTGAAACCTTTCAGTTTTTTTGTCTCTTTTTTATTTATTTTATTCTTATTTTTAATTTTTTTAATCAGTTTTTTATTTTTTTATTATTTTTTTCATATGTTAGATTGTTTCGGTTTTATATGTTGTTAGCCCAGAGGGGCGTTAACCCAGAAGGGTCTCGAATTTTGTGTATTGTGGAATTTGATTATAGTATGGAATTTTGGATAAAAGTTTACAATCTAGGGAAAAATTACGGCCAAATCCTAATAACTATTATTTAAAAATGGAAGAAATATAGAAAAAATATTCAATGGTCAAACTCTGTTATTTATTTTATTTATATATTGAGGGAGTACGGTACCCATAGCTGCAGAGTCGTCTCTAGATTCTCAATCGCTGATTAAGAATTTGTTTTCTTTCGAGACAGAATCGCGTCAAACAATAAATACAATCCTATGCCACGTATCTTCTGAGACATTTCTTATGTGACACCACTACAAGCATTCATGATGCTGGTTCAGTATTAATCACAATCTTCGCAAAAGACGGCTGCTTTGAAAAGCTGCTTCAGCTTATTGGTGAGAAACTATTTGCTTCTATATTGGAGCATGAATCGGTGATCTACGTTTCGTGACAGATTCGAGATAAAACACTGAACACATTCCTAAACCGTAAAAAAGGTTTCTTTTCAAAACTCTTTAAGTAACTCATGAAAAACTGTCAGAGTACAGATGCCTATAGCAAAAAGATGTCTCCATGTAATGCATAATGTTGTAGAGATGTTACCGTGAACGACCGAAATTGGGGAATGTCGACTTTCACCGGAGAATGTCAACATTCACCAAATACGTCAGGGAAAGATCAAATATTTCTTTACATTCTTGTACATTCGGACCCTCACCGGTGTATGTCGACAACCACAGATATGCTCTGGTGCAGGTCGAAAAGAGAGGAGTATATGTACACGCTGCCATTCTAAAAGGAAGTGTTCCACAAATAAATGAAGTTGTAAAAGCAAGGGCCTCTTGTGCAATTCAAAGTGTGATAATAGTTTAAGTTGTTGCAATAAATAAGATTTGAATCACATAATTTGGTAAGTTTATAACTTCTATTATTTTCCTTTCTCATTTTGAATGTACTATGTGTTTTAAGTTTTTATATTCTTAAGTTCTTATTCTGAGTTTCAAGTGCGTTTTTTCGCGAATGAATTACGGAGAGGGAAATATAATATTTTATATGTTCAACATTCACCATTAGTACATGGTGAATGTCAACATTGACCGGTGTAAGTCAGAAATAAGAGTATTTGGAAAATATTTCGGACATACACCAAGAGACTATGTGATTGCTGACATTCACCGGTGTAAGTCGACATTCTCCATATTTCGGTGTTTCACCGTAACAGAGACATTAGGTATTTTTTGGAAGCCGGAGAGATGAAAAATATGCAACGCCTTCGCCGGGAATGCGCTGAGCATGCAGACCGCTAGACCACGAAGGCTCGTTAAGAAAGCGGGAGAAATACCTTATAATGTCACCACATATATATGGTGGGACCGTAATTGCAAATACATCGATCTATTATTCTATATCGAAGTTTTATTATAATGCATGCTTCAGTCTGTGCTTTATGACGGTCGTCTCGGTTCTCCAGTTTCGATATAAGAAACACATGTTTTTCGTAACAATTGTCTCTGCATCATTTTGACTTTCTCGCGTTCTTAACACATATGAGATATCTTATGAACAACCAGCTATATGTAGGCCTCTGATTGGACAACTAGTATCTAGCATGTTCTGGAAAACAGTCTGGATGGCACCTCAAAGAGTTTTTCCTCACTTCACGAAAGGCAGCTGTCTCTTAGCCTCTCAACAAATCAGAGACTGTATAGTCCATACTTACGCATTTACATTTATCTGCCGCAAAAGGCATCTTTCAGAAATCTGCATTACTACATTACTAGGCTGCTTTTGACGCAGTTTCCATATGGCTTCCTTTCACATGGCAATAACATGCTGGGAAAAGAAAAAAGGGCAAATTGATAGACATGGATGGGTAGATGTTGGATGGTTTGAACAAATATGTTTAAGTTTGAATTTTTGTTGCTCGTTTTTGAAAATAAAAAATAGGTAAAAATGTAAAAGAATGAAGTAATCATTTCCCTTTTTTTATCGTTTTATTTTTCCTCTGTAAATGGTATTGCTGGTTTAAATTTTAGAAATTTGTTATTTATCATCACTCTATTTTTTTAAAAATTGCACATTTGTAGGGTTCCTCATTCATTTTTGTCTAAGATGAACGTCGAGGAACCTAATGAACTGTTTAGCGACTTATCGCTGAGTTCAAATAACTAAAGATATAGACTCAAGAAGGGTTAAACTACCCTTTATTACACTCAGAGTAAGATAACAGTGGGCCCCTTTCTCGGGCTTACAACAAAGCCTCAGAATAAGAAATAAGAACTATAAGTAACTAACAGAGACTGAGCTGAAGCTAAACACAAGTATGGTATACATAGTTGGCCCTTAATTTAAACTGGCCGGCAAATGTCAAAAGGCACGTAATAATACGGCCTAGCTTAGCAGCTTACAATTAGCCCGATGCTAAGATCTCTTAGTTCAGCTAAGAGAGACTTAGGTCGATGGAAAACACGCGCTACTCGAGATTCCTAGCTCTCCCTCTCGAAGTAAGTTGAACCTTTCTTAAGTAATTCTTAAGTTCTTCTAACTCATTTGCATTCAACACGATTTTAAAAACTCATTCTGGTTGGGAGTTGTAAGTGCAAACGAGAATTGATAGGAAGAGGACTTTAAAATTAAAATAACTGTTATAAAATTAAAATATACTTTACACATTATTTCGTTAAATGCAAATACATATTAAAAAAGTTACTTACGTCACTATTATAGGCAAGATCTTTTAAAAGACCTAGTTCTTCTTCATCGCTGGCGAATAATGCTAGCAACTTGTGGCTAGGAAAAAAAAATTGAAAGTAAACATAAATGAAAAAAATTCATCTTCGTTCCTTTTATAAATATGAAGCTTAGTAATGAAATTCTGCATTTTTTTTATTTGTTGAAAATTCTTCTTTTGTAAACTTCGATTTTGTATCGAAATATACTCTTTAATGTGAAATCTATATAAGCAGTTTTTATTAAAGCATTTTACATTCAGCTACTTTCCAGTACTAATCACGCAGCATGAAACAAAATTATTATGCCAGCATTTATGTAAGAATGCTAACTCCCTCTGATGAATTATTTTCTTGTATTAGAATTTTTTATGTTAAGTAGGCGGGCACTTAAGTATACTTTATTTTGAAAAAAGAAATGATAGCGGTAACGTCATTATCCTTGATATTTTACGAATTTTAAGCGATATATTTACGGAAAAGAATGCATTTTTGGATATGGATTCAGGATCAAGAATAATTTTATTAATTCCAAGAACTACATTTGATGCATTCCGATGCAAGAACATTCCGATGCAAGAAGAAAAGAAAAAGAATTTCCTAGATATTAGAAGGAATTCTAAAAAGTCTTTCCGTTGTCCGGTAGAGGGCGGAGAAAGAGGATTCATAAAATCTGTTTTTAAATGGCAGACACTATATGAAATTGGTTTGAGTTTTCGGGCTTTTCTTATTGTTGCCATGATACCATAAAACTTGTCTGTTATATGGAAGATTAAAAATGTCACGAAAAAGGTGATGCTGTAGTTTCTAATCAACTGTTCGGCAAAAGAAATCTTGGTACAGCTCAAATACTAAGACTATGAGAAAATATAACTAGAGATAATAAAATAAATAAATATAATTTGAAAAGGATAATCTCCCGAAGAAACATGAATTCAAGGTACTGTAAAAAGCTATGAGTGTATGTTATTACATGTAATATATACTATTTTCATGCAGTTTAAGTTTACCAGAATACAGTATTTGTTCCTTTTGGAAATGACAGAGTAAGTATGAATGTTAAGATTATCATTATTTAAGCTTACAAACTATCACGCAAATTTTATGTATGTATCCTGGGTTAAGGTATTTAACACAGCTTTCACCAAAATTTTACTGTCATGCATCTCAGATCTGCTTTTAGTGTGAAACCAATACTGAGTTTCAGAAGCGGTTATATTAGTAAAAATATTAAATATTTGACAGAGTATTTAAGGTATCCGACCTCGTTCGGGTACCATTTTTTTAAAAATGTTTTTTATTTTAACTATAAACATATTAATTTAAAGATAAGCATATTAATGAGTGAAAACAATTTAAAACGTAATGCTAAGTAATTTTAATTTTGAAAAATAATGAAAAAAAAGGATAATTTTTGTTTAAATTTTGCCTTTACGGCAACAACCACGGTGAACAATGTATATATAAATATGCAGTTTTTTTAATTTGTATTTACATTTACACTTGTTTTGTATGCAATGAAGCAAAATAATTAAGAAATATTTATATATTCTTATATGTCAAATGTATAGTATTTACTGTATATTTTCCTATTATTGCATCCAAAATCTAAAAAATAAAAAGTAACAATTCAACTTCTAATTAATATTCTAAAATCTTTGCTTCAGAGCATGCATCAGATGAAACATGTATAGAAAGTATCATTAAATTTTATCCCTAAAATTTTGAGTTATGGCTGTTACCATTGGCAATATTACAGAAAAAAACTTTTTCAGAAAACAAGTTTAAAGTTTTCATAAAACAATTTCTTAGTGAAAGAAGCATCCCTGATAATTAAAATTCCCCTGCTTTGTAACTTAACACCTTGTTTTTTCTTCCCACACTTTGCACCTTTACTTTCGAACAAAGTGTAATTTTTTCTTTGGGTTTTTGTAAAACTTGTGGAATGCCACCAAAAGTCATGATTTTGCACTTTATCAAGTTTTCGAATTCCCTGCTCAGTGTAAAATTCAGGGCACATACCTAACCTTGAAAATGTTTCAAGCAAAGCTATGAATCCATCATTAAATAACATTAAATAACCCAACACTTGCATTTGCTCCAAACATTAAGATTCGCAAGTTTATGAATGTTTCTTTCGGAACAATTTGCAATAAAATGCCATTAAAACGTTCCTTGATATTTTGAGTTTTGCCATGTAGACACTTTTAATAACTCTTGTTTATGTAGTCAACTCCATATATGTAGGTTTAATTAAATTCAAAATATATATTGATATACCAGAGGTTTTTGCCTAATTTTTTTCTTTCTGATTTTTTTCCTGATTTCTGCAATCACACATTCATAGTTGCACCAATTCATTGATTATTGAGGAGGGCATTGGTTTCGAAGAAGAGCTTCAATGGAACAAGCAGTTAGTACAACCTGCTGCATCTCAATTAGTTTCAAACATGACTTCTAATTGCAATCCCTAATTCTGCAGTTTATCAATAAAAGAATCAGTCAGTTTACCTTTTCCTTTCAATTCAGGAGCGGAGTTTTTTTATTTCGTAGTCCACTACCAACCCTTTTCTGTACATGTTCAATGCATTCCACTTTCTTGACCTGAATCTTTACCATATATATCTTTTCCAATTAAAAACCTCTTAGAATCCTCATCCTCTTAATACTCCTGTGTACTTCAGCCTTTCGTAAATGTAAATAGATCATTCAAACAGGGGATAAGCACCAACTGCTTTTCCATACCCGAAGGCTGCTTCTTTATAATTTGCAGAACAATTATGTTATGCTTTACAATATGTCGTGCTGAAGATTGCATGCCTATTCTGTTTATTTTGTGGCAAATGACGCAAAAATGTGATATAGCTTTTCAAATCAAGCACTTTGTCAACGCTAATCGACAAAGCAGCAAGCACATACATTCAACGTCGAATACCCTCTGCGCCAAACTAAATACGAAATTAAGGGAAAAAACTAACACCGATTCTTAAAATGTATTACAAAATATCTAAACTTAGTACGCAGGTTTATAATTTATAAAATCTTAATGATAAATAAAGTTTCTAAATAGGTATATCTATTTAAACGCTCACTTCCGGCCCAGAATATTGGAACTTCCGATTTATTCAGTTACAGAAAAATTCTTATAACTTCAGTTCTAATTAACCTATCAACAAGCAAAAACTTGTATTTGATAGCTAAAGATGTATTCTTTAAGGTAATGTAATAAAGTAAAAATCGAAATTTTGACCGAAAATCGTCTTTTATACGAGGTCGGATACCTTAACCCAATAAGAGTCTTTTCTTAGCAATACTATTCAAAAATACTTACCCTGTAAAATTGAGTTGGCAATGAACAGGTAACACTGCTAATAGAAGGAAAGCCAATTGCAGCATTTTAAGTAGTTTCTTGCTTACACTTTCTGTTTTACGTTATCAGCCTGAAATTATGAAGAGAAAAAAAAATATTCAGAATGATTATGGATAACTTTTATTACTGTGATGTGCATGGTACCTTTACGAAGTAAGTGTTCATGTGAGTTTATATTTTCCGCGTAACGTGATGTATTTTGTTCAACTGCTGTTACATATCAGTTTCCAAAAGTTGGATACTGTTATGAAATGCTCAGCTGTGGTAAGATAGTGTCCCCGCAAAGCGGGTTTAAGGTTACCAGAAAATGGCAAAAAAAGGCGGGGTTGTCAGTTTTGGCGAGAAATCGCCCATTTAGTGACGTTTGGCGACAAAATTGGCGATATGCAATAGTCGGAGTGAGAACAATCTAGAACGAAATCTTACCAGTTTGCCCCAGAATGTTCTTGAAGGCAGGTCAGAAAGCTATACAAATCCTGCCTGTGTTCGGAGTAGCAGTGTATCGTGAGTTTTATCGTGAAGTTGAGCGTATAACGAGTTTTATCCTTTTCGAGCGTGTTGAGCTCCGGTAGCGATCGATCGAGACGGGAGCTGTATTTGGTTGTTTTGCCGTGAAACTGTCTTCACCATTATAGCCTGATAGCCTGAAGGCTGTGTTGCTAATTATTTCAGCGTACTTGTCGACGACTATAAACATGTCTTTGGAACTGTCCTGTGAAATACTGACGAAAAAATTGTGTTTTTATTTTTCATCAAGTGTTGCTTCAATCACTCCTAATCCACGAACCCGCAGAATGCAACAATAAGCACAGGAATAAAAGATAGAAATGTGTGTTAGGAAGTCCTGTTTTTAGTATTTCAGTTATTGTATTTCTAGTTGAAGAGATAAAGAAGCCGAAGCACAATAATAATGATAAATTAATGTTATAAGGTATTTTCTCCCTCCTTCCCTCATACCTTCGTGGTGTTATTGGAAGCAAACTCGACGCGTATTCGAAAGGATTCCAGGATTCGAGTCTCGGCGAATGCACTGCATATTTTTCGCGTCTCCTGCTTCAAAATAACCTATATATAATGTACTTGTTATTGCTAATTTCTACGACCACTTGTGCGCATGTATTATAATTAGCTCATAAATGGTTTTTTGAAAATCTGAGATATAATGCTAAACATGTTTACTATTTATTTAAAAATTAATTAAATGGTGAAGTAAAAATTAAAAAAAAAACCTTATTAATATCGATGGATTGTCTGAATCCTCATTACAAAAGACCTTCAGAAAGCTTATTTACTTTCATTCTTTCCGGTCCAAGCTAAACACACTTGAGTAAGTTTATTGTAAATAAAATTACTTAAACACTTTTAATGGAAGAATCTCTAGTAATTTGAAATGGGTTTTTGTATTAATACGGAATTAATAAATAAAGGAAGTCATGTAAATTGATAATGATAACTCCGGAAATTCAAATGAAGGGTAATCACGAATATAACATTTGAAAAAGAACATCCAAAACTTACTTCTATGCAACAACGATTACCAATGTTACTTCGTCACCACCAGGATTTGGCGATTGGGTCCCCTACACCCCAGTCCCAATGAATATTTTCCATATCCCTTCCTTAAAAAAGAACATAATGACTCTACACATGGATCTCCATCGAAAACACTTAGATCACTGCATCACATGTATTTCATTTTGATTCATTTTAATCACAGGTTTCTGGGCACCCCCTTTATCATTTCCACTGACCATTGTCACTTCCGTTTTCCTGAAACTTTTCCACAAGTGCAGAAAGTGATTGTCAAAATTCTAGAAATAATATTTCTGGTTAGAATGTTATTTCCATACATTTTTATCGGCATTCTACGAATGTTGGAAATTTATTTTCAAAACACCTTTCTACAATGAACACATAATTTCTTCTGTGTTGGGTCGCGATTGAGCTGAGAACAGTTGTTGCCAACATTTCAGAGAGTGAAGGAAACTTTTGTGTTAGTCTTCGTTACGGAACAAGTTATATCTCAGTGTTCATTTAGTAAAAGTTTATAATACCTTAAGTGTGCTGCCTCACTCAATATAGAGAGATATATAGCGCGTCCGTAAAGTCATGGTGCTCTTTTGATCGGTCGCAAGAAAACAACAAAACAAGAGAGAAATGTGAAATCTTCACCAAACAAAAGAAAAACTCTTAAAGTTTCATACCTATTCAGTGCAGTTTGATGTGGGCTCCATCCATGCCATCACAGTCTACTCCGCAAAGAAGAATGGTCCTATAACTTTATCATGCATCATTACACACCACACGTTTCCTTTAGGGCTGTTACGTTCGTACTCTACGTGGGCATGAGAATTTTCAGCAGCTGTTATGGCGATGAACATGTCCACTAACAGGGAATGTCGCCTCATTGCTAAACACAATCTTCTGCAGAAATCGGTTATCACTGTCCACCTCATGAAGCATATCTGTAGCAAAAGCAAGTTGTTTGGCTCTATCCGTCCGTTTGATAGCGTGCAACACCTACAGTTTGCAAAGACTTCTTAAGTAACTCTTCCATATAGCCTCTACAGATTCGTCACTGACCGATGGCCTGCCAAAACGGGGTTTGTCCAACAACTTCCGGTATCCTTCAACTGCTTATCCCACCGATTAATGTTATTCCTATGTGGTGGCGGTTCGTTGTACACGCGAAGATATTCACGTTGCACTTTGGTCACCGATTCGAATTTGGCAAGCCACAGAACATACTGAACTTTCCTCTGTACGGTCCACATCTCGACTGGCGTGGGCGTGGATGGGCTGATCTGCTCTTTCGCATTTCGCGGTGCTGCGTCATCACCTGTGTGCGCACATGCTTGCACACGGAAACTTGGAGAGTTCTCCTTTTGTTTGGTGAAGATTATTTCTATCTTGTTTTGTTGCTTTTCTGTGACCGAACGAAAGTGCACCATGACTTTACGGACGCACTGTACATATGAGTGTGTGTGTGAAAATAAGAACAGAAAAGAACTATTCTATGCCCAGAGAATATTTGCATATATATGAATGTGTGTGTGAAAATAAGAACAGAAAAGAACTATTCTATGCCCAGAGAATATTTGCATATTCCTGACATTTCATGGGAACATAAGCAGTAGTCTAATAAAAACATTTTCTTATTTTCGTTGGGCAACAACAACGAAAATAAGGAAGAATATTTTTATTTGTTTCTGATAAATAAATTAGAATCTTTAGGATTTTAGATAATTAAAATCTCTTAGAGATTATATATTACGGAACCTGAATTCGTAAATTTTATCATTTCTTGAAAACCGCGGAATATTAACAAATTATTTGAACGTGAAATTTTTATTACTTGCGTTTTATTAATGGACATATTACAAGCACAGTATTTTACAGGAATAGGTATAACTACGCACAATTTTTTATGAGAAAAAACGAATGTGTGCACCGTGAATGCAGTCAGCATATCAAAGGAGATATTCCTTTTTCCTCCTTTCTTTCTGCAAAGTGAAAGCATGGACGATTTTTTCTCTATGTGCGGGAAAAAGTAAGTGTTCATTGTTTAGCAATCGCAATTGTATCGCAATCTGCTTCGAAACTTACATAGAAGCAGAAAAAATGTATACATGTGTATTACATGTACACTGGGGAGGAAAGGGGGGACAGTTCTATATCTCCCGTTCTACTTGGCCGATTGATAAGATTCAACTTGTGTTTATCATGTCTCGAAAGCACGACTTAGAATATGTATTAGATTTATATATGGCATTGATCTAATATAGGTCTGTTGACACAAAACCGGACTTTTTTCGGAAATGGCATACTGATTTTTCTCTATATATTTCGATTCTACGACTCAAATTATGCCAAACTGCCAATTTTTGTAAAAATCGCAAGAAAAGTTTATAAGGTATTTCTTCCGCTTTCTTAGCATGTCTTCGTGGTGTAGTGGTCAGCACGCTCGATGCGTATGCGATAGGCCCATGTTTCGAGTCCCGGCGAAGGCGTTGCTCATTTTTCACATTTCCTGCTTTGAAATAACCTGTCTGTACAAGATTTAAAAAAAAAAAAATAGCTCTCAATATTTTAGCTCATCAATGTTAATTGGATTTGGTATATATTTATTAATCTCTCTCTTATTTTATGACTTATTTGATTCTTGCTTTCACATTTCGAAATTTAAGTTCATTCCAAATAAAATTCGTCCATTTTTTATGATTTATTTTTAAAAATTTGTATTTAAAAATAATTTTTATACATTTTCGAAAAAAATTTTGAATTATAACCTATAAAATTTTTACTGTCATCTTAAAGTAGATGTATTTCTAAGCATGCCTGCAAAAAATTAGAGTTTTTTATTCAAAATTTCCGAAGATATACCTGAATTTATATATTTATATATCAGTGCACATTGATTTTTAACAATGTTTTTATCCGACACTTTGGGCACAGTGAAGATTTTGATTAATTACACGAGTTGGATTTAATATTTTAACTTTACTGTTCATTGTTACGTGGAGTTTGAGTTATGTAGTATTAAAATAAAACAATAAAACAATTGATCCAGCTTTATCTAATCTTTATTTAATACTCGTATTATTAGCTAAAGAAGCAATTTGCCCAGAGAGGCTGTTAATTTCGTTTTAGCATTTTGCGTCGTCCACTATAAAACGGCGTTTCACTTTTCAAATTGTTGCCACCCAATATTAGAGCCCATCATTATATCTAAAGAAATTAAATAATAAAAAATCTGCGTGAATGTATGTATGTTTCTCGCATTGTGAATAAAAAACGATACCTAGAAGTGGAGGACTACATCATTCAAAATTGGATGGCTATCCAATTTTGAATGATGTAGTCCTCCACTTCTGAAGGCTATCAGATTTTTTATTTATTTATTTTGCTTTTTAAATTTAATTTAACGTTTGTTTAATTTATCGAAAAGTCTCGAAATGTATAGATAACTTTGAAAGTTGGACTTATTCTCGACTTTTTAACTCTCTCTTTTTCATTCACGCGTTCGCTTACTTGATTCGTTACAGAATCTGGGGCTTACTAATGGTCTTC